AAATGGATGAACGGAATGACATGAAGAAAAAGAGGAAGTAGTGATTAAAATGTCCCAGTAAGATTTATAGATGAAAGTGTTCTGTTGTAATTTCTCCTCTTCTTCTTCTTTGTTGTGTGAGGTTATTTCAGGATTGAACAGATCCAAAAGACCAGGCATAAATTTTTAATCAGGCTGATGTTGTTTATGGAGGATATTAAACTATAATCCCAACCTTAACCTTACCTTTTAAAAATTAATTGGGGTACAGTAAGTCTACATTGTTGACACCTTAACAAATTAAAAGGAGGAGAGAAAGGGATAACGAACTTATGCACATCAAGTTAGAATGACTGATTCTTCCAACAACAGCTAAGATCAGAGCCTCATACCATGATGAAGATATTTTGTAAGACATATTGGAGTGGTAATTAACCTGATTTTTAGCTGATATTAGAAAAATCTATTCCGACCTGTAACTCAGAAGTACAGGGAGAAATGATATCATGTAAAGAAATGCAATCAGTAGATAAGGGAAGACCGGAGTCGGTATGGCGGTGTAATTAGGAAGACCGTATTATGCTATGGTGGAATCCAGGGCCCTGGCGCCACAAACCTTTTTATGTAATCTGGAAAAAAATAATGAGGCTGGCGGAGGGAAAATAGCGTGGCTTGTTGAAGAGTAAATGATATTGTGAACAGTTGATTTGAGTTATAAAGATAGGAAGTAGGACTGAAAGGATACTGAGGTAGAAGGATGGATGGTATTATGGAAGGATAATGTATCGCATTACATTTAGTACAATTACGATGCTATTCAGAGTTTGTTCTAGATTAATGTTTTATAGTGTATTTAAAAAGAAAAATAATGTTGAGAGACAGAATAATTAAGAAGCTTGTGGAGTGAGTTCCAAGTGCAGATTTATCTAGACAGGAATTTTGGTTGGGTGGAATATTTTGAATTTTTCACTTCTGTGATGTAGTATGAGTGGTTGTGTGTCTTTATTTACCTGGATAGACTAGGCTTCAGATCTGCGACCTGAAACTTTATTGCATTGCAGCTTTAAAAAGTATGTAGACCACTCCACTGAGATACAAATAGTATTTGCACATATTTGACACAATGTTTACATAGACCTTTAAGGCCCTGGATTAGAGGTCGAAAAAATTCTTTTCCTGTGCAAACACTAAGTTTTTCATGGATTTGTGACCTTACGATGACGAAGCATTTTTGTTTCCCAACTCTAGCTTTACACAATGTTGACTTCTTTTTTGAGAGAGAAATATTTAAACAAGCCAAAAAGACAAAGAAGCTAGTCAACAAGTGCAAGGAAGTTTTTTTTTTTTTTTTTTTTTTTGCTTTAAGTGCGGTTTGGCACTGCTACTGTGAACAAATGTTTTTAGAGACAGGTCTCTGTTTTACAAGGCTGCTGTTCCTTACGTAGTGATATTCAAGTGGTGATCTTAAAAGAAAATCGAAATCTGTGCTTTGTCAGATTGAACAGAGCTGGGTTCATTTTGGAAACAGTCATCGCAGAACTGTTTCATTGACGGAAAAGCACCATTGGACCGAGAAGATTTTGGGAACTTGGCTTACCAGAGAGCAGTGAAACAGAACAGCAGTTTTCTGTTTATACTGTCCTAGAACAAGACCTTCCTAGACTCGGTTAACAATTCAATACGCCCTTAGTGGTAAAGGATTTTAGTCTTAGTGAGGATTTTACCAGATTGCGTAACTTGTCGTCAGTGCATTTTTCTCCTAGCACGGGGATTATTGTGCCACAGGATACCTAACTTCCTAAGCCGGGGCAGCTTAATAGAACCATTTTACAAGCTGCTCAGATCTTTTTTGCAAAGGGAGAAAGTTCGGTGATGAAGGATTGTGATACTGCTGATCTTAGTGCTTTCTGCCACATGCATAATTTGATGATGGATGCATTGCACCAAATGTATGGCTGTGAATACAGGTAGGAGAGAGAGAGAGAGAGAGTGAGAGAGAGAGAGAGAGATAGAAAGAACATTTTTGTGAAAGACAGAGATAAAAGTGAAAATAAGGGAAGGAAAGGAAAGCACTGACAGGGAAAGAGAATTAGAGAGTAGGGATGGAGAAAAGAAGAGAAGGAGGGAGAGGCTATGTGTGTACCAAATAGAATCTATTGATAAGAGAGAGGGAGAGAGAGCGAATGTGGGGTGGGGTGGGGTGGGGTGGAGGGGGTGGAGGTTTAGAGAAGACAGGGAGGGTGAGGCTCAGGGTAGAGGGGTAAACAGAGGGCGTTGCCTTTCTATTGACCTGCAGCGCATATCAAGCCAGGCCAGTGGGCAGCTCTTTCAAAGAGGGGGGTTTCTTTTCCTGAAAATAAGAATACCTTTCTATCCCATAAGTTGAGAAATGTCATAGTGCATAGCTGTGATTGTGATTCAGACTATTTTTACCCAAAAGCACTATTTGTTTGAAACCCTACCAACACCACTAACCTATCAGCCTGCAAGCACAGTCTTCCAGCAGCCCTAGATGTTAGGCACAGGACTGCACAGTAACAGTGCTTGTCAGGATTATGTTATTGTCTGTTTACGTGAGGACAGCACCCCGGGCACCACGGCACTCTGAGGTTATCACAACCAGCTCCTTGTTACGCCCCGCAGATCAACCTTTGTTACGCCCCGCAGATAACACAAGAATGTGCCAGCTGACGTAATAGAAACCGGTCTTACGTTGCGTGTTGAAACCATAGTACTGAGTAAATAAGTTTTTTTGCCAAAAAAATTATTTATATCTAACTAGGACTGAAAGATGAGGTTAGTTAATGAAACTTAAAAAAACAAAAAAGCAAAAAAATGGGTTGTGAATTTACAATAAAAGATATGATATGAAATTGTGCATAATAAATATTCATAAATCTAACTCAGTTTTTATGATAATGTGATATGATAATATGATTATGATACAATTCTTAAACTAAAGAAGGACCCAATGTTTTGGTAGGACAAACTACAGTTGATACCTCCACTGTAAGCTACTATGGTAAATCAAACCTGCAGGTATGAAATAAAAATCCATTTAGATCTGATATGAAAGGACCAGGTTAGCAATTTAGACTTAATGGCTGTTGTAAGATGGGGGAGGGAGGGGATTAACAGGTTCTCAGTCTGGGTGATTTGTTTGATAAAGTGGGGTGTTCAAAGGTGAACTGTTTGTTTTCTTAATCCACCTCACCTTGAGATACCACAGGTCAAAAAGGAAGTCAGAAATTTATTTATTTTTTTTTAAAGATAAAATATGATTTTTAAGTTAATAACTATAATTGAAACTAAGTGAAATATGTGAGGTATTGCAGATCTTGTTAAAGGTAAATTTTGATTAAATTTTACATATTTCTGATGAGTTGTAATACAAGACGTGTGTATGTGTTAGACAGGTCTGAAAGCTTCATTTTGCCAGTGCTGTGTGATATAGATAGAGGAGGGAAGAAAAATGTCAGTTTATAGGTAAAGTTATTGTATATGCAGTCCCTGTATTTTTTTAATTCATAAAGTGAGATATCATTGGGAGAAAAATGTGGAGAATATGGAAACGGTCATATGATAGTGTGTCTGTAAAAAAAAAAAAAAAATGTTTTATTGCTCCCCTGGGTAATTTGATAGAAGATTAGAATTATTATTTAGAACATACTTTGTGGAATTGGTCTGGTATATTATATGTAATTTTGCTGAATGTGAGTTAAGTCTGTCACTGTAGATGAATTATAGATGTTGTCCTGTCTGTCTCTCTGTCCATCTGTCTGTCTGTCTGGGGTTTTCATTGGCAATAAAAAATTTATGTTGCCATTGACATTGAAGATACATTTTCATCGGTATGTAGACAGTTTGATAGCTGGAATGATATTGACACTGTAGTGTCTGTGTAAAAAATCCCCCTCAGCCCACTTGGTAATTTTTTGTACACATTGTTATGAGCAATAAATGTGTCATTTATTTTTGGCTCAAAGTCATAATTTTTTTTTCTTTTTTGTTAAAACTCACAGTTTCCTATTTATTTATTTATTTATTTATTTATTTTGATTTATCATTTTGATTTACAAAAAGACACTTTCTGCTGGGAGTCCAAACCTTTCTCCCCCCCCCCCCCCTCCCCATATTTTTCTTGAAGTAACTAACAAAAGATTATACAGGGAAATTCCACTGGCACATATCTGTGTTGACATATATGTCAGTAAGAAATTTCTGCATCTTTTGTAAAAAGAAGTCCCATGACTCACCTCTGGACTTCCCCATTACTCAGAACAGAAGGAAGACAGTACATATAAAAGAAAAGTCCACTGTCTTTAAGGCTTAATAACCTGTTCAATGCAGGGGATAAGAGTTATATGTGTGGTAAGGAACAGAGAGTGATCTTTTTAGTGGAACAAAAATCCGAGAAGGGCATGGAAAGAAGTCTATTGCCAGCAGAGCAAAAGTTTTTCGATCATTTTGAAATTGGTGATTATAATTACCACCTGGGTGGTAAAGTTGCCAATAAGGACCGCGATGATTGTGATTGGAAATCTTATGGAGGAGATGATTTAAGTGATCTTGTGGTTTTGTTGCTCGGGACACTTTGCACATTTTCGCAGAGGTAGGAAGGGGTGGATAGTGTGTGTGTGTGTATGTGTGCGTGCCAGCATGTGTCCATGGGCAAGTTTTTCTGCTTATGATATCTCAGAACTTTTCTTTAGATAAGGAAGAAACGGAAGCTGTCTTTTTTCTCAAGGGTGCTGAAAAAAGAGATTTCTATATTAAAATGAATTTACTTAAGCTTTCAGGATAATATACTATGATAAATTGAATTACATTTTCAGGCAGATATGCTTCTATCCTAAATTTAATTTCACCCTGTGCATATTTCTCATTTTCTTTTTCTTTTGCTGTGCTCATCAAATTATGCTGCATTGAGAGAGGGAGGATATTGTTGGGGTAAAAAAACCCAAAAATTATTCAATATTTCTAGAACCAAATATTTAAATTTTTCTTTTGTCTCCTTGCAGTGGTGGTTCCAGTACAGTGGCCATAGACAACAAGATAGAGCAAGCTATGGTAAGTCTCTTTATTGTACAGTGTCACAACTAACACAATTGTACCGTCACAATTGACACAACAGTACCTCTAACACATTTATCACAATGTCACAACTAATGCAATCAAGACAGTGTCACATTTGGTACATCTGAACTAACACAATTGATCAGTACATTTAAAATATTTGTCAGCATGCTACGATTAATGCCACATATGTTGTTGCCATGATTTCGGTATTAAATTCTTGCCCAAGCCCTGTTTGATAAACAAACTTTTTTTGAAAATGATTTTAATTGAAAGGGGCAACAACAGCCTCTTTGTGTTTGTCAGTAACATTAAGGTGAGCAATCTTAGCAAAGCAAAAAAAAAAGTTGGGGGGGGGGGGGGGGGGGGGCATGTGGTAAAACAGGTTCCACTTACCTGGTGACATAATCGCCCAAGTACTTTCGGGTGACAGGTAGAATATCATGTTTTAAACACCAAATAAGTCACACCTGTACTGGTGTGTATTCAGGTAATTGCAGAATCATTTCACCTGTCTTTTCTTTGAAAAGGAAACAACCAATAGTTTTTCCTCTTAAAAGCAGTCAAGGTTTTTACCAGCTCTTAATCTTTCGACGTGTTTTTAAGACCGAATTGAGTGGTACCTGGACGAGTTAAATGCTGGTAATAGCTTACTTATTGCACCTGTTTGTTTATGGTCTGGGATTTAATGGCGGAAAGGTTAAATGGGGAGCTCGGAGAAAATCTAGACATCCCATGTTTATTTTACAGTCCAGTAGTTAGCCAACCAAATATTCCCAGAATAAAACATTTGATAAAAATGCATTGAATATATATTACTGAAGTGAAGCAACCGTCAAAAATTTCTTCAGCTGTGTTAAACACCCAGAATTAATGGTGTCAGTGTCTTACAAGACACTTTCAGCAGAAACAAAAGCTGCAGATGTTATAGCAGCCTATAAGATTTGAAGATACTACTATTGTAACTTTAAGAAGCATCCAGAAGTTGTGGCTTTTAATGCAGGCAAATTATAAAATATAAGCACCTTGTTTTCTAGAACAGGTTTTAAACATTCAGATAATGCCTCTTCAAAGATGGTGAAAAAGTAAATTGTTTCCTAAGAGTAAATATTTTCAACCTATGATCCAAGACTTCTCCACTCTTAAAAAAAAAATGTTGATATGAACAAGGCCTTTCGATGAAGGCTGTAAATATCATGCCTCATAAGAAAAAAAAACACGAAGACTCTCTTTAGAAGCGATACATGTACTTTTCACCATGTTTTGAACAGTTCAGTCAGGTGCTACCTGGAGATGTTTCTACCTGTATAATACAGGTGATTGATGAACAACCTGAGTATACCTGGCCACATGAAGTACTCCAGGTTCCAGACTGTCTGGGCTACTCACAGTTCCAGTCTCCCTTTCAGACACTTGTCAATAAAAAATCAGCTTGAGTACATGACTAGGGATAGGCTGAGACAGGCGAGGCATGTGCCTCTTTTGAACTTGCTCTCAATAAAATTTAATAAAATTTCGATAAGTTTGATGATAATAATGATAATAATCATAAAAATAACAGCAGTTATACTAATGATGATGTTGATAATAATAAAATAATAATAATGATGATGATGATAATAAGTACTTTGCACAGTGATTCACATCAGATAAAAGGGGTTTTAAATCCAGATATCTGAAAAAAAATTCATATAAATTTTCACTTTCCCATCACCAATAATAACAGTATTACTAAACCTGATCTCATGATTTGTATTGTTCAGCTGATGTCGTGATTAAAGAGGTCAAGGTCAACTGGGCACGTAATTGACCATGACTCTTTGGTCTGACCAGACACATTAGTGGACAGTTATTTGATTGAATGACCTTGGTGGTAGTCTGTCTGACCGACCAGTGCCCGTCGTTATGTCATCCTAAATGATTTTAGTCCTAAGTAGACACATCAGTTAGTGGTAGATTGACTGTGACTCTGCTTACTGGATGAACAGGCAGGCTTCTTGTTGTGGGTTTTGGTTTCTGCGTCTCTGTTTTCAGCAATAAATGAGAAGTTAATTGAGCAGTGAAAGCAAGTTCAGTTAATATATTAATCTGGAAGGTTTCTCTGTGCTTCATAAATTTCTGAAAAGTTGATACAAATTTAAATTATAATATCATTGTATTGTCGTAATATGAAAATAGGCAGTGTAACTCGATATAGGTAGACGGTGTTAACGAGATGGCAAAGCGCAACAAGTGCCTTATTTATCTTTATTTGTCTTGCCTATATGTTTGTACACCTTATCTGTTGACATTATGGAGGATTATGTCATTTTGACCGCTTGTAGGGGTTACCTTGACCTCGTCATGGTCAAAGAAGTCATTGCCTGAATCTGGTGTAAAGATAACAGGAAAACAAAAATAAAAGTACTGAAAAATATTGATAAAAATAGCTTTTTATCTTGGTAACCAGTGAAAGGACACAGAAGATTCGAAAGGACGAAGAAGGACTGGGGATAGGGAATAAAGAAAATGTCCTCGATTACAGATATATACATGTATTCAGAGGTTGGAGACGAGGTGTGCTTGTCTAACCGTCCACAAAAAGTCGTTGCATTGTATTCGAGGTTTGATATCTATTTGCGTTTGCTCTTTGGCTTTGTGTTTGTCTGGGCCTGACTGGAAATATATTTAAGTGGACATCCTTTAGTATGGAGCATTGTCTGAGGCACGGTTGATCCTATTGTGAGAACTCAGGGCATCACATACAGCATTGTAAAAAAGTCTGGTCGTTTTTTTTTTTTTTTTTTTTTTTTTCCAACAAAAGAGGTTGTTTTTCTTGGTTTTTATTTAAGTTTTTGTTTGTCGGTATTTTTTTAAGGTGCACAGGAAAGTTCAAATGTTCTTCATAAATTATGATATAAATTTTCAGGATAGATAGATAGTTATTTAGGAGGAAAAGACTTTTAAAAGAATTTTTCATTCCCCTTGGCATAGATCTGCAACAGAGGTTATTATGGTCACTCATAGTAAAATGTATATGTATGTACAGGTCCACATGGTTCTGAAAAAAAAAGCAGAAAATTATTTTTTGTCCATTTTAAAGATATTTAAAAATGTAAAAACTTGAAAGCATGCATTTATCATTTGTATTTCCAAAGGAAAATGTGTAAAGGTTTCTCCTTGACATTAACACACACACACACACGCACGCATGCACGCACACACACACACACACACACACACACACACAGTACATGGAATGACACATGATACTGTTGTGGTTTTCATACCCTCCACTCGGTCATCCAACTTCATGCGTCATAAGCATTCAGCCCAGCATAATAACAGCTTTCAGCATAGATTTGTATTTTACTCACCGATTCTAAAGATAATCAGACAATCTCATGAGATACACGAGGAGCATGGGATATGTTACTTGCTATTTACGATGTTTGACCGGTCGTTGGCACTTGATGTATGACCAGCCCAATGGTACCAGTTCATACCAACTGTTGACCGCCATTATGCATGAGTTGTCTGCAGCATGGCATTAACGTGACTGGCGATACAGTGACCCACATGTTCAACATGTGTGCACGTTTTCCCCATGTGCTGGGCCTCGCTGTCCTTGTTGTCTTTGGTTGGCAATCTGTGAATTTGCGTTGAAATTGTTGTTGTTGTTTTCTTTTGATATGTATGTCTATCAGATACTAGCAGAGTGGCGTCTTAGCTGGCAGAGATCATGAATTAGGTGGAAGGTCTCTTAGACCCCATTCCCAGAGATTAGATCGATCCAAACTAGATCGACCTAACTCCCTGGGGGTTCACGCTAAATAGCTGTCAGCCGAGCGGGCACGAAAGTTAATTACACCCGTACAGCTTGTTGTAGGCGGGACGGACATTTAAGCCGGATTATCTGACAGTAATCTAGTGAGACTCCCCACAGGGATAGATCGATCTAAAAGCTCTGGGAATACAGCCTTAGTTATGAAAGGGCACGGAGTTTATCAGATTTGAATTATATCTTGTAAACAAAAGCTGAAGTGATGATGTCAGAATGACGTGTGGAAATCCTCAGTGACGTGTGGAAATAGTCTGTCTCACGGCCCATTATCAGATACGATTAGTACATTTGTTGCATAATGGTTTTTCACTGGAGGATCCAGCAAATCTTCTGCAGCAAAGCTTAATGTAGGGACACATAATATGCATGTGCATGGACTTCAGAAAGTGAAAGGTCCAAAACTTCTTCCAGAAATTCATTAGTCTGGTGATTTTAATTTTGTTAAAAGAAGTACAATTGTATGTTATTAATTTATCATAAAACAGAGAGTCATAATTATAAAGTAATTGAATTTTTTACTTTGTCAGATTTTCATCTGTCTTTAGGAACTTGGTAAAAATTTGACAAAAAATGTCTTTACTTCTTACTTGTTACAGTCTGTGATGCATATGAAATAACAAAATAAAAAGATAAAAAAAGTATTATTTTCTACTTGCAACATTTAAAACCTACATATGCTTTGCGAAGGCTGTTACACACTGTTGATCAATGATCCTGATTCAAAGTCCACGTGTCAAAGCATGTGCAATCATTGAGCGAAAATATCCAAAATTGACACATGCACTCACGATTGAAGTGTCGATTTGAATTGTGATATGCTAACCTTTACCTGAATACCGCTATTTAATCCAGGCTTTGATCAATTGTTATCATTGAGCGACCACATGTATTACCACGTGAATTTGAAAAAAAAAATAAGGAAAACATAAGAAAGGAGAAGGAAGTAGTGCATTGAAAAGTGATAGTCGGTTTCAATCCAGGCCAGCATGCTTACAGTTTGTTATTATGATTTTGTTTATTTTGTTGTTGTTGATAGTTAAATGCACCCAGTTTATACGTGGGCATATCCAGGGATAGGTATTTATTTTGCAAATGTTGCTCAAATACTTCATCACAAAACTTGTAATTAGGTGTTTTGTTAGGTGCACGCTTCATACCCAGACTCTCAATT